AATGGGTACCAACAATTTTGTCAAAGTTGGAAATGAAATATTTTTTTCTTCCCAGTTATTTATTTTTCAAAATCTACAAAGAAATAGTTAATGTTCACTTATTGCTGCTTTTATGTGACTCAGATTTCCCCTTTTTGTCAGAAGCAGAGTCGTTCCTGAGGCCGCAAAGCAAAACATTTAGAAAAAAAATATATTAATCTATGTACCATATAAAATCATTCAAATCTGATTTCCTGGTAACTTCTAGGCAGCATGTTTTTTTCTTTTTATGTAATACCAAGTGTGTGTATATCATGCTGAAAATTCACTTTACTGTTGGAAATAAAGGTAGATATGCTCCTGCTGACATTTGATACTGCTGCTTTTTCTTCACTTATTCTGTGAAAATCCCTTCATGTCAAATTGTTTTTCAAAGGTAAATAATTAGTTTTATGAGTTTGGAGTTACAATAATACACACTTTAATTTCTGATGCCTCTACGTGTTTTGAATTAATTTTCATTGTTACAAATCATTATCAGACTCAAACAAATGTTTTTAGTTTCAAGATTTTTATTCATTTAAAAATAACAAAATTTATTTACAATAAAATACAAATCACACATAAAATGAAAGGCAGCAGAAAGAAGAAAAAAATCTTATATTTTAGTAGTTCCTACCCTGCTCTGATTATTTATAGTTTTATTTGAGATAAACCTGTTATATCAAGATTTTTTTCAGCCCTGTATCAGTAATACTCATCTCTTGTTTTAAAGATAAATTTAACTTCAAGCAAGATGATCGGTTTGAATGTGCCACAAAGGCTGGTGATGTATTTGCCACTCAGAGGAGGTATCCYCAGCCACTGTTTTGGGACTACAAGGTACGTCGTGTGTTTCCTGACAATCACTATGGCTGCAGCTATAATTTAATAATCAAGTATTCTGTGGAGAAACCCGTGCACATCAGTGGTTCCTGACCTCTTAAACCCTGACTTGTACAGACAATAAAAGCTGTAAAATAATAATGTATAAACCATTTCAGAGAGTGAAACTCATACTCAGAGCAAAAATATTTCAAGCCTGTTATTTATTTTAATTTTAATGATTATGGCTGACAGAAAATTTGAATAATGTGAAGAGGTTCAAATATTAGAAACTCATGGTGTCACACTCTAGTCATTAAMTTAACTCAAAACACCTGCAAATGTTTCCCGAGCCTTTGAATGGGTCGGTAACAGACACAATCGTGCCATGATTCAAGTATTTATTAATCAAACATAGTTTTGGGAACTGATCTAAAAYAGAAAAGGTTTRRATKTAAATACTCTGTCAAKCAGTAAAATAAATTGTCTTTTATATTTGTTGTAAAAACACATCTGGTTTTAAGCGTATCTGTGATTTTAACCTCCTGTCACTTTTCCAACAGTTACATTTAATTGGTGAAAGGGATGAAGTACCAATTCACTTCTGTGACAAATGTGGCCTCCCAATTCAGCTGTATGGGCGCATGGTGCGTACTCTGCCGCTTTTTCTTTTTGCAGGACTTGGACAGTTGAAGTCTAACGTTTAGATATTTTCGGTCTAACTCGTGCACTTTTACCTCTTCAGATTCCCTGCAAACATGTATTTTGCTACGACTGTGCTTTGCTGCATGAGAAAAAAGGAGAGAAGATGTGCCCTGGGTAAGAGCATGTTTGTTTCTCATTATGATCCTWATTTTTAAAGCAGGACTCAGAACCTCTCTAGTTATAGAGCCATGTCAAGAAGATCCACTCTGGAAAAACTGTCACTAGAAATTTTACTACTACAATAATTTAGCTGTTTTTACAGACAAGCTTTTACATTTTAATTGTATTTTCCAGGAAAAAGTAAAATATATTATGGAAAGAATGAGATAACTGTAATGCCATTAATAAAAATGCAATCACTTTTCATTTAGGCCCTTGTAAGAAAACAAACAAAAAAATCATGTTGAGGTGATAGAGATTTGTAAGACTGTGATCAAGAAGTATTATGCCAAGACAAGACAAGAAAAAGCTAGTGTGTCAGGGGTGTTCAATCCTGGTTCTGGAGGGYCACTATCCTCCTGCTTATTTGTAGTCGGGCTGTGGAGGCAACAGGTCTAGAAGAGAAACTCAGACCTCCCTCTCCCCAGCATCACTTTCCAGCTCATCCTGGGGCACCCTGAGGCGATCCCAGCTAGTCCCGGGTCTTCTCCGTTCCTCCTACCAGTGAAACATGTCTGGACTCTTAGGCTGAGCCTGGTCATCCTACAAAGAAGATCATTTTGGCTGCCTTTAACCAGGAACTGGTTCTTGCGGTCATGATCCAAACCTCATGACCGCATGTGGATGACAACCACCCATCACCCCCTTAACATCTCTGCAAGGGTAAAGATGTGGACCACTGTTCAGGACCAGGACAAAAGTCACACTGCTCCTCCTGGATCTGAGGTTTTTGGTTGAATCCTTCCTTACAACACAATGGAAGAAACCTCCCTGGGCAGGTCCAGAAGTGTGATCCTGTCGAACTTGAAGAAGTAATTTCATTTCATTCTCGATCCAAAGCCGAACCTTCGACTTCTCGTCACGTGGTTGTTAGAAGTTCATTTTCTCACACAACTTTCATGTGTCAAAAACCACACAGTGTAGACACCTGCAAAAAAAATAATAACCCTCACGCTGCTGTACGCATCACTGTACGGGTTTCTTCCTGCAAGGATATCCACTTCGTCCCTATCCACCGTATGGCCTCTAATTTATCACGGATAGAGCACCACACTTTTTGGTGGACGGATTCCTCCATGCACACTGTCTGCTCTCTCTATTCAGGAATTTTTGGCGTTTTGACTCTAAAAGTTTCTGGAAGAGTTATAGATGTATCTTCTGAGGGCCTCGAACAACTGCTCCTCTAAACTATCCATGTTGGAAGCCGACTTCTGTAAGCATTGTGTTGAGAAGGGATGGACAAAGCCACTCTGCTAAAAAAATGTCAATTTTCACCAAGAAGCTACGTCAGTGTGAGACGATTTTGTGGCTTCGGATGGAGAGTGCAGGGCCCTTTACTCTGGTGTGTTGGAGCAGAGAAACAGGTGCAAGATTGTGGCCCTGCAGGACCAGGATTGAACACCCCTGCTGTATAWGTTGCAGTGGGTAATTGCCTATTTTCAAAATATGTATTAAAATGCCTAAGAAGTACTTGAGGTTTACTGTCACTAATTTGGGGTTTAAGATGGACAGCCAAGTTAGTGCTGTAGTGAAGTCAAGCTTTTTCCACCTCAGACAGCTAGCAAAGGTGAAGCCTTATCTTTCGCACCAGCACTTTGAAATAGTAATCCATGCCTTCATCACCTCTCGGCTGGATTACTGTAAGGCACTTTATGTTGGAGTTTGCCAGTCCTACCTTGCATGGCTCCAGTTGGTTCAGAATGCTGCTGCTCGTTTGCTGACTGGAACACACCCATTCTGGCTTCCCTCTCCTGGCTGCCTGTGCATTTTAGAGTTCGTTTTAAGGTTCTTTTATTTGTTTTTAAATCTTTAAATGGCCTTGCCCCATTTTACCTCTCCGAGCTTCTCCACCCCATGCCCCTGCACGGTATAGGGGGGAGAACAAGTATTTGATACACTGTTGATTTTTCAGGTTTT